CGATAAATCACTCCCGAAGTTGCACTTAGAGTCTTAGATAAATATAAGACTTTGACGAGTGAGTTAGTTAGAGAATTGGCTTTAGCGTTACATGTATAATATACAGCTTACAATTGTTTAATAAAGCACATATAACTAGCCTGACAGAGAGTTATAATAAAAAAAAAACAAAAAAAAAAACAGTATATTATAATGACATAATGACATAATTATATATTAAAAAATATATTATTATTAGAATTTCATTTATATTCTTTTTTTGATATACTGTATTTTATATCAATTAACTTTTAAGATATTTCTATATTACTCAAGATTTAAGATTAAACTAAAGTGATAAATATTTAAAAAGTCAATAAATAATATAAAAAGGATATTTTAATCTTAACATTATTACAATTTTTATTAGAAAAAATATAAGATTTTATTAGCAAGAAATATAAAATTATATAGCATATACAGTATACAGTATATACTATATATATATACTTTTTTTACATACAATGAGTTTGTAGTTTGGTCAAGGGTGTAATTAACAAATAATAAAAAGATTTTTTTTTTTTTTAGAAATAATTTAATTCATTTCAAGTAAGTTGAATCAAGTTAATGCATTAGGAGAAGCGTTTATACCAATCATGTTGAAAAAAAATAAATAAATAGCTAAAATAATCAGGTATACCGTATACTGTATTTTAGAAAAAACGAGCAGACGAGATTCTTTGGTGAATTAAAATCTCGGTATTTAATTATTCTCAACCATATTTTACTTGTTCTACCCTTTCTTATTTGCCATAGAAGTAATTGTGACCTTGAATTTCGAGGAATAAGAATTTCAGGTGTAAAAAAAAAAAAAAAAAAAAAAAAAAAATTGAAATCGGTTTCGTTTATTTTAATTTTATTAGTTAGTAGTATTTCTAACGAATAGTATTTTAATTGACCTGGAAGCACGAAAATACAATTGAGGCCAAAACCATCTGGAATGAAATTCTCCCATTGTTATACGATGCTTCCATAAATCGACAATATGGCGGGACGATGGGACGACAAATTTTGGATTATGTAATCGAGCATACTCGAAAGGGGCGATCAAATCAAATTGCGTTTTGTTTTTTTCATTGTCGAATATAACTTCGGCAAACGCAACGCATAATTAGCGTACATGTACAATTTTGGCATTGGTCGCACACAGGTCGGTGTTTGCCTTTAGTGTGCGTATCCAACATCGGAATTTACGCACGTAGGTACGTCACGTACTAACACTCGGGAAACTTAATTGTATGAAACCATAAAAGGAGCATCTTGCACAATGTGAAGAAACGAAGCGGACAAAAGAATGAAATTCTTTCTGTGTACATGAGTCAACTGGACAGCGTACATTTCGGATGTAATCTTCACATGAAAGGATTTGTTCGAGTCGAAGGTTTTAAAGATTGTCGAGAATAATGAGGTCATTGTATTTCATTTTCATTTTCATTTTTTTTTTCTTTTTACAAAGAATCGTTACGTCAATTGCAATGAATGGGTGATGGGAGACGAAAAAAAAAAAAAGAAAGGAAGAAAAGAAAAAGGGATGCTAAAATAGGCAAAAACAATTATATGAGAGGGGTCTGATGATCGGGTTGTTTCGATGCCGGAAAAATAAATAGCTGCTCTACGCGCAATGATATTTAGTGACTCCTAATTACACGTCGTAACTTGCGTACGTTTACGGACATTGCCAATGGTAATAATAATAATGAACCTCTTTGCGAATTGTGAATGCAGGAGAACTTTGCATAATTGAAGTCGGCGAGTACGTTATCAGAGTGCATGTCCCAAGATGCGCCGACAAAACAGAATTGAAAATTGAAGAGGACACCATCAGTATAGCGGGAAACAATTTATGCATGCACGACATGCGGATGTCTGTTCACAACGGCAGGTGGACAGTATTCAGTTGAGACGCCGCTACATAGCAAAAAAAGTGTTACGTCAAAAGAAGTTCATCTACTGTGCACACAATATACTGTATATTGTAATACGCACACTGCGTATATAATTTTAAGGGGCATTGGATGATCTATTATATTTTTAGGAATGCTCGTTGTTCTAGTATTCACATATGACAATAATAGAGTATAGAAATGAGGGTAACCGTTCTATGTTTAAATGTTTTCCGGCGGTGGAAATAATAAAAAATCATACGGCAGCTACTCCTGATTACATTCCTGTTTGCATGACACCGATATAAAAAGCAAAATTTGTTGTATGAACCATCCTACTGTGTAAGCATACGACTTTTTTTTTTTTTTTTTTACACAATAATTTTCTCGCTGAAATCTCTTAATCTCATAACAAAAACAAACGTTTCTGCGGTTGCGTTGACCAATCACACATGATAAATATCCGATCAACAACGGTTTAGCTTAGCCTTTTCGTTTTTTTTTCCTAATTCGTCGTCTCCATCCAGAGGGCCTGGAGAGGAGAACTGCACACATCACCACAACTCGAATCACCTTATACATTTATATCTGATTCTGATTACCACGTATATTAGTCCACATAAAACAATCGGAGAAGCTCAATCAATCGGACGTCCACCGCTCCCATCATCTCCAGTATCAGCAGCGTAAGTATTTTATTTTAGATGTTCATCATCATCATCATCAACAACAACAGCATATACTTGTACTCTGCCGTATAATATAATTGCACACAAAACTCCACTTACGTGTGTACGCACGTAAAAGACTTTTTGCCCACAGCCCGATCTAGGGTAAATCCTCACAATTATTGTTCCAAAATGTTATTAACAATGGGGCAATCGCATATGTGTTGTGTGTGTGTGTATATGTGTGCATCGAACAATCACACAATGTTTTTTTATTCGGCAGTACCTAATGAGTGCATGACCAAATATTTACCGGCATCTTTCTCCAGATTCATCTTTGCTTGCTTGCCAATTCACGTCCAACCGGAGCGCTGTGGTGACCCAACATATCCCACCAACCGTGAACTCTTCATTAAGGTTCGCATCTGTTTACCATCATCATCATTGTTCCATATTTATTTTCCTGTTGTGTGCGTACCTACCTATCATTTTACCGGTCTGCACAAGAGACCGACTACTATACTATAAAAGAACCGGGTTATCTTATTCATCCATGTTTGATTCCTTGGTTTCAACCTTATTTTATTTTTATTTTATTTTTATTTTATTTTTGTCATCATTTTTTTTTTTCTGAAAAAAAAAAAAAAAAGTTTCGGTCGATTGCCTTCATCAGTGAAATAACTCATTCCATTCTCGATTCACCATCCCATTCTTGACTTCTTTTTTGTGCAATATTGCACTATTTTGCTCAATTGTATACACTCATGCAGAATACGAGCTCGGTGTATAACGAAAAGATCGTTTAAACGGATCACTCTAAATTGTTAAAAAGCACAATGTATTTTCTTAACCGACTACACCTAGGACTTCTGGTGAACAAAAAACTATCAGCCATCTACTCTCTGTTCTCATCATTGGCCACAATGACTGTACGTACCGCCGTACCACCGCCATCATCACCTTCGTCCAATGTACACACGAGCACCAAGGCGAACCTGATAAAATCCAAATCCTTTATCTCGGATAACGATAACCCTCTATCACTTTGCTATCATCACCGCAGGCTCCCTTCGTTCTCACAATCCTCACCGGTACTATCACTGCCCGACGAACTCCTCACCGAAATCTGCGAACGACTTTCGCCCGAAGATTTGTACTCCCTCTCCACCGTGTGCAAGTCTCTTCGAAGCTTCCTGTGGTCATCAAGTTCCATGGTGACGCAACAGATATGGAGGAATTCGAGGAAGGCCTTTTACCCACAATATAAATCACCTCCATTGAAGGACATGTCGGAGCAGCAATACATTTTCTTGGTGGTGTTGGCAAAGAAATGTCAATTCTGCGAGGAGAGCGATAAGAAGAAGCTAAAGAAATATTGGGAGTTCCAGGTTTATTCATGCGAAAAGTGTTTGGAGAGGAGAATCGCCAGGTGATTGATTGAATTTAATCCTTGTCTCCAACAATCCATTCTGACTTTTCGACCCACCGTTCCCCTCACTAACCCACCTCCCCCTTCCTTCCCTCTCTTCCCTCCTCTCCTCACGACAGTCACAAAGCTCTGTTGAAGAATGACATGATTCACGAAGATGTCCTTTCCACATGTCTGAGCCTGGGCGAACAAGGCTACTTCATGTCACACGTACGAACGGCGCAAATAGACTACTTGCAGTGTCAAGATAAATTTTCGTGGGTGACTCACAAGCAGTTGGATGTCATCCAGCAAAAGTGTCGAATCATTGCCATACTTTTGGATGAGTTTCACGCCGAATCCGTGTTGGCGTATGCATAGAACTTACTTGGGGGTTGGGGGGATGATGGTAAGATTCTAATAATTTATTCCACCATAATTGTTGTCAAGTAAACCGATTAATTGTATTTAGATTGTTACATATATACCTCTTGTCATCATAACCTATTTCTTGATGAAATTTAATTTTGTATACAGTATATATTGTGAATTTTTTATTATTCTCTATTATTCTCTATTAGCTAGCTATTTATTATTCATTAGATTTCGAGAAATTTTGTCGTTCGTATGTTGAGTGTACGCGACATCTCTTTTTCGATCGGATGGTTGTATAGAATTTTTTGTTTTTCTCTTTCTCTGGTCTCACCTACTTGTCACACACACTCCTCATTCTTTGTATTCATCTTTCGCTTCCCTCCTTTGTACAAACAAAAAAAAACAAGGAAGCCTTTTTTAATAAATCAAATAATACTAATGCATCAACTGAATCACCCATTCTGTCGGAATGGAAATTATTCGAGGCGTGCGTGATAAACATGCATTCAAAGCATTGTCTCACGTGATCATAGACTTTTTTGTGGTGTTTGATTTTCATCATCACGATTATCAAGAATTATGTTGGCTCGACAACCCAAATATCATAATGCAAGACGAATCCTTTTAAACTTTTCAAGAACGGTGTTGAGGCGTAGTTTCGTACCGACTTCGGCATCGAGAATTGGGGTCCGTAAATACGGCACCGCAAATTCCTCGTCAACGGCGGAAGCAGAGACACGAAAGGAAGAGGCGCTTGAAAATATTGGCGAGTTAAAAAGGTTAAATAAGTGGTCAACGCTTGACCCCCATCTCGTCAACGAGCACCCAATTTAACATCATCCATCACCTTTCTCATTTTATCACCGATAAGGGACAAGGCGTACAGCCAGTTGATGTTGGACATAAACTTGTCATTGCTCCACCCTCCAGAATCCGTGGAAAAACCTGAAGAAGCAGAGGAAATTCCATATCAGCGGCACTCACTGGAAGCGCTGTTCGGAAGGAAGCGGTTGGGTTGGGTTACCTTGCCCGAATGGCTCGACAAGGCGATTTTGGACATTGTTAAAGGTTTGCCTTGGGCATAAGCAAGGAAGGGAATTGTGAATTGATTGATTTGAGAATTAGATTTAATTTACGTCGGAGTTTATGGTTCGACGTAGGTCATGAGAAAGAAACGGTTCGAGTGGACACTGGTCGGATATATCAGTCTCTGGGCTCAACGACCGGTTTCAAGGAGAGAGATGTACCCTCCGGTAAAATTGCGGTTAATTTCATGAGTGGCTTTCACGCACAACGAGCAAAACCTTCCTCTACACCTGTTTTTTTTAACAATTAAAGATCATTTACATGCAAAGACCCCATATTCGGTCCATGCAAAACTGCGGCGAAAACGTTCAAACGTAATCTACGTGAAAATCCAGATAATAGACCGCACATCCTTGAGTATGGCGATCGCGAAGCTGTGGCTTACCTCGCCGGATACTTACCGGTGACCTATGGACCAATATATAATGTTTTGCATGAGTTGAGCATGCGATTGCCGGATTTTGAGCCGACGAATGTGATGGATTTTGGAACTGGACCCGGAACGGCGATGTGGTTTGTCTCTTAGGTGCAGATCACTCACACGAGACAGAGAGGAGACACTGACGCATGCATCGCTTTTGGCAGGGCAACCAGCGAAGTGTGGGGAAAAAGGGTGAAGAGTTATTTGGGTATTGACACCTCGGAGTCGATGCTACGAATGGCCGAGAAGTTGTTTTCAAGTGAGCGAGCAACCTTCTATCCCACTCTATGTTTTTTTCTACCGAGTTAACATTTCATTTTCGCGGTACTCCTCTTGCTTTTTCGAAGGCGCACCCTATGCTGATAGTTTGCAAGCTCATTTCAGAAGGTACATCACCTATGATCCAAGGGTATCTACATGTCATATTGTTCTGGTATGCAACTATCTCGGGAATTGCGACTTCATCTTTCGCCTCTTACCACATTTATTGGTAGCAAGTGCGGTATAATCTGGTGATCAGCGCATTCGCGTTGGGCGACCTGCCAAATGACAATATCCGAGAATCGATCTTAGAGTCGTTATGGAGTAGAACGGAGGATATCCTGGTAACAATCGTGTCTTGTCTTCCTCGGTAAAGTTCATCTTTGAAGTCTGATTCTGATTCGGTAGGTGCTAGTGGAAAAAGGGAATCCAGCCGGATTTAAGACGATAACTGACGCCAGGAAGAAAATACTAAGGAATGCGGAGAGGTGGCAAGCAGAGGTTATGTCATCTCCGTCCGCGTCGACGTCAAATGAACGGGAAGATGGTGTTCACGTCGCTAGTGATTCGACGTCATCGAAAGAAGGCGTCCATGTTGTCGCACCGGTCCGTCACAGTCCTACCGTGCTACGATTATTTAATGAATCTTCTAACGGCCTAATCTTTTTTTGTCGTGATCTTACAGTGTCCACATGACGGCGCGTGCCCATTGACGAGTTCCAGGAATTGGTGTCACTTTTCGCAACGAATAAATCGACCTTTATTTTTGGTTAGTATTGTTATTGTTTGTGCTTTGTGGCGTATGCGTTTTCGTGTTTTCCACTTTAACGAATATTTAATATCTTGAATCGACCATTTCGTCGCAATCGCAACAACAATGTAGATGCAAGCGAAAAGGGTTCACGGTGTAAATCACGAAGATTCGAAATACTCGTATGTCGTTTTGAGGAGAGGCACGAGGCCAAAACCGGCGACATCCGGATCATCGGAGAAATTATTTGACGAAAAATCGGTCGATGCTAACTCGGCCAAAGGTAACTTCGGGGCTCGTTAAAATTCAATCAAACTATTTTTTCTTTGATTTCTAAAAATCTTTCTATCAGAGTTTATCGCCGATGCTTTTCATTGGTCGCGTTTGATCGTTCCGCCCAAGAAGCGTACTGGGCATGTGGTGATGGATTATTGTTCTAAGACAGGTGACGGACACAAACTTTGGGGTCATCGGATAATTTATTATTGTCATCGCTTTGCTCTTACTTCTTTCACTATAAAGGTTATATCGAACGAATGATAATTCCAAAGTCGCAGGGAAAGATTGAGTACCGCGATGCACGAAAAGCAATGTGGGGAGACCTGTTCCCGCATCAACCAAAAAAACCGGCCGAACGTAGAATCACAGGTGTTGGTGACCCAGATGAAGGCGAGAAGGGGAGAATTGATTTTTCGGAAGACGATGATGGCGATAATCGGAAGGGGACGCATAGACACAGAAACTTGATGAAAAAGAAAAAAAAAATTCTTAGACTAACGGTAGATAATGAGAATCTGTGTGTGCGTGAATTGTAGATACAAATTGCTAGCTGAGGCGTTGTCGATTCACGCATGACGAGCGAGATACAGTATTTACTGTAAATGGTTTATGTTATTCTAATACAGTAGTGTCGTCAGGTGATTGTTTATAATTGGATTGCCATATTTATATTTATCTTGTGATACGAAACCAATAAAATCTTTTTTCGTTCACTTGAATCGCATTGTCTGGAATCTAGTTTTAGTTAAAAAAACAAATGAAAATCATAGATTACTGAAATATGAATTACACGCAAAACACCGAACTATTTGCGGATACGAGTAATAACAACCTCATAAGCGGTGATGATGATAGTGCGGTCACAAGTGACATTGTTAACAATACCATCACTCATGCTTCCAGTGACGCCATACCGATACGCAAGAAGAAAAATGAATACGAAAGATCCATAAATTCCTTTTCCTCCATTTTATCCGATCAAACTTCGCCCAACATATATTGGGCACCGTCGTCGTTCAGCTCGATAACTTCATTTGACCAACTCTTTGGAAATTCCAAGAGGGCATCCACATCAAGTTTAAGTTTTTTCGGGATGACTGGTGCCACCATTTCGGATCCGGCGGTCCAAGAGATGTTGCTGAAGGAGAAGGTTAAGAAAGGTTAGCCGAGTAAATGACGCCTCATTAATCGATTTCATTTGAGACAAGGATTATGGGACGGCGCCCTTTGTAATATAAATTTTTCTTCTCATCATTCACTAGCAAGCGTAGACATGGAATTGTTTATGCGTCAATTGTATAACGATTCATCGCTCGGAATGTATCACATGAGTGAACACATTCGGAGGAGGGTGCCACTTATGGTCGAAGAAAAGGTGGGGTTAATTTCCTTTGAAAATCAGTTTAACCAGAATTATTCGTCATCCATTTATCATTCATCATTCGTTCACTCATTTGCTACCATTATTCCTGAATGCGATCTTCAGAAGGGACTGATGACCCTATCGGGAGAATTGGACATTGCGATGTCTGATGTGAAAGATTCTCACGAGATTGCAAAAACAATTCCGGAGATTGATGCATTTCGCAATATCAGCAAAATGTTAGAAGGCACCATTGAAATAATGGAAGAGGTTAAGGGTAAAGACAAAAAATGGAAATTTTGGGATGAATAGTGTGCCCTGAAAGTTGATGAATGGCGAAATAAGAGAATTTACCATGTTTTGACTTTGCGTAGACGTTGTATTTAATATTTGTAATATACTGTAAATTGTGGAAGAATCGGATCTTTATTTAACTTCGATATCATTATTTATATTTTGGTTGGTCGTATTTTCGCTATAAAATCGAGAAGCATCGTCACAATGAATTTTCAGGAATGAAATCACGAGTGTTATCAAGCAAGCAGACGGTGAATAGTGAAATAGCGGCCGTGCAAGTTTCCGCAGTGCATACTATTTCGGGGTTTCGATAACTCATTTTAGTTAAACGCCACCGGAAAAAATAGAACTCACTCTTTCCTTCGGATTTTAAATTTGAACGAGGCGCGATGTTTGCTAGTTATTTATTTACTAGTGAGCTTTAAAGGAAGTTGTGATCACTATTGTAAGAGGACCGATCGAACATCAATTCCAAATGAAGAGTGATTTACAATAGTCGGCAAGGGCGCGGATGACAATTCGAATGGCAAACTCAAACCAAACCATTCCCAGAGATGATACATATACTGTATGCGCGTACAATTGTAATAATGCTGGTTAATATTAAAAAAAAAAACGCGATATTTAAATGGAACATCTGTGAAAACATCTATTGGATGCAAAAAGCAATTACACTTTTCTCCTTTTCACCTAAGCGATACACGTCCAAAAATGGTGTTCGAGGAAAAGGTTATTATTTTCGTCAATAAAGTTTTCATTCGGAATTCAATTTACCACTCGATAGTTTCGGAAAGATTCTCAGATGTTCTATTCATTTGCCACCGCGCGCAATTTTTCCCTCCCAATTATCTATCTAATAACATCTTAAACACGATTTAAGGCCTCTAATGATTGATTTTCTTTTAATCTCGGAGTACGTACAGATAAAGTATAATATTTCGTGAAAAGCTTAGTAGTCAAAATCTTTGACGCATACAGTTGAAAGTCCTTTTCATTCATTTGTGAATTTTCGGCGAAAATAAGAAGAGCGGGGGGGGGGGGAGAATCGCGAAGCTTTATCAGATGCAAAGATAACATCGATGAATACCTGGTTATTAAAGTATTCGTCAAATGACGGCCGAATATATGAAAATTCTTCGTAACTTGTATTCTTGTTTGGAAAGATTTCCCATAAACTTGTACTCATGTTCAAGAAATGTCTTGCTGACTTGCGTTTTTATATGAAATTTTACCGATCTTGATGTCAGATTTTTTCCTCTTTCGAATTCACTTTGAATTGCAAAGGGATCCAACAAAAATAGAATCATCGATCTTAAATTCGCGAGGATAAAGTTTAACATTTCAGGTGTAACAGACGTCAACAGGTGAATCTAAAACCTTTCGTGATGCTATCCGCGCTCTCGTAAATTTCTTCGAAATCCTTAACAATCCAAGAAAAAATAATCGGATAACAAGTCCGCTATAAGGTTGGCCCCATATTATGGACGCGTCAAATAATTGATTGACCCGATACAATTGTAGGGTGTGTTCAAAAAAGAGGAAACATGACTGTCCCTTACATGAGGTGGTCAAGATTTTAGTTTTTTATTACGCTTAGACTCGCAAATACATTAGCATATCACAATTTAGTATAACATCACACTTTCTACATCTAAATTTACATCACTACGAAATCTATCATAATTGTTTCTCTTTCGAGAATAATAATAATAGTAATAATAATATAATATATATATATATATATAGTACACCGACAAAAAAACTCTCGATCGTTTGACCCTTCCGTCTAAGTATGTGCTAATTCAATATACAATAAAATCGTCCGAATTTCAAAAAAGAAGGACGATAGATAATATATAAATAGAATCAAAAAATTGACGAGCATGTGATCTAATAGAGGCCATCATATATATACAGAATCAATTACGACCCATTGAGACTTTGCTACGAACAAATAAAATCTCCGGGTCAAAGTCAAGAATATAACAAAACGTCTATCGTATTTTGCGCGGTGTCGTTATCCTCATTGACTGTAACGACATCAGATGGTAGCAAGGCCTCTATTAGATTAACCGAATTTGATGTAATTATATCAACAACATTTGGTGCTCCTTCAGTCGAAACTGTGAAAATTTCATGTAGCCGTTCTGCCATGATATCACTTGAAATGATTGTCTCATCTATAGACGGGTGAATGGGATCAGGTTCAAGAGCTGGATTCTCTACTGCAGTAGTTGGTGGAGTAATGTTCGCGACTGCATTATCCCTACCGGATCTTGTGCACGAAAGAACAACATTCGTCGGAATTGCAATTGTTTCGTGATCCGTATTTCCATCCGCCACATCATTCGATGTTGGTACCGCACTTGTATCCACCATATCACTTACGGTTGGGACAATATTATTTACATCCGTCACATTATCGTCAGTGGGTATCGCAGTTACGATTGCAGTAGCATTATTTGTATCAAGGGGCGGTATCGTATCAGACTGTTGGATGGCGTTTCCATCCGTTACAATCTCTACCGCTGCATTATCTATCTGTCCCTCCTCTGTGGCATTCGCGGCTACTTCCGTCACTCCATCGTTATTTTCATTAGCAACCTCCGCACTGACCTCTTTCTTTTCCTTTTCTCTCTGTTTAGCCTTCGCGAATATATTCTATGATTGGAAAACGAATTAAAAATAAAGATCCCCAGTATAATTGAAGAAAGGTAAATCTCATACCTTTGCGTAGGTATTAATGTCAAATACAAAAGGTCGTGTACCAAAATTCACTATCGCACTCTCTTTCGGGCTTTCCATACCACACGTAGGATACATCTCGCTATCAAATTTATCTTTACTTGCCACGCCTGCATACATAAATGTGGTGAATAGAGGTTTGCAAAATCGAGAAGTAAACCAGCAGCGCCGAAATAACATGAATACATAATTACCAAGGCTAACCCCGTTTTTCGTAAAGAACACTTCCTTGTCGTAATAATTTATGCCGCAACCAACAGTTTCCCCGGTAGTATAGAGAGGACCAAATTTTCGTCCGGTACCACGTTCATAATATAGATGACCATCGTCACCGTGATACCCTATCGTATCAGGCTCCCATCCTATTTTGAATTTCACATGTAGCGAAGGCGAAGGGGAGGTTAGTATCTGCATGCACACCCCACCCTAGACGAATGCAATAGAAAAACCCACACCTGGCATTCTATTTAAGCGCGTTCCGGGTTTGCTCAGTCCAATTCCGATGCAACTAAGAAAATGCACAAGGAATTGAGTTGCGAGTGAATAGGAGAGAATAGTCATTCAAATTCATATTACCCTCTGTGTCCACAATCAATCACAGTTATTTCGAAATAATATAAGCCAACTTCGGGAGGAATGTAATTATCTGATCTTATACTAGCTGCATCAATCCAACTCCTAGGTATTAAAGTATGATCTACATTTAGCATTGTTTTTGTTTAAAACCTAAAAAACGTGAACCAACCTTCCCGGTCCTATTAATTCGTTCAGGTTATTAATTACTTTGCTCGACCGTCAATTGAATAGAAAATAAGTTGATAAAAATTTTTACCGGTATACTGTAGGGACAACTTATCATCATCGGAGATAGATATGTAAGAATCACCATCGGCAGAATTCCAATGGGTAGGCAAAGGGAGCGGAGGAAATGTCTTTTTGTTATATTCTTCGACCGGACTGTCCTTCAGGTAACTGGGCAAAAGGTAACGCTTTGTCATATCGATCTTCGTATATCTGATAAAATGCAGTGGATTCCTTAAAAATTATTATAAACAAATAGATTTACTCGGAAATTTAACTTTAATGAAGAAGTGAGAATTGTCTAACTGTATTTATATTTCTAGGTCGGTGAAAAAATTCATGGTCACAATCTACGCGGTTATACATTGTATCATTATAGTGACCTTGTTGCGCAGTTTGTGGCGCCTGCCAGAAATGGTATTCATAAGTGGCAAAGAAGGTTTTATTGGGTGGGAATTGGTTATATCGGGAAATGAATTCCGTACAAGTGAGAGTATGACATCAATCCCAGCAAATGGGTTAGTTCATTGAATTTGCCGCAGTAAATTTTTTCTATAATGAATAAATGAAATTTTTATACTGTATATGGCGCTGATCGTAAGAATTTACAGTAGTTACAGTACCTGAAAATATAATAAATAAATAGATTGCAATTAATTTTTGTTAAATTTAAATAAACTTTATAAAATAAAATAAAAAAAAGATAATTAATAAATAATTGACAATTTTGTATATAATCAAAAAAATTTTTTCAATAAAAAATTTTAATTGTTTTTATAAAAAAATTTTTTTTTTTTTTAACCCGCAATCATGTCACATTGGCATGTCTTTATTAAGATATAGAGAAATACCTAAATATTTTACAGACTTTCACAAAGTGACTAACTCGTCATTGTACATTATTAGTTAAAGGATTACACTACTTAAAAAATATGAGGAGTCCACTAAACTAATTTGGACTAAACAAATCTAAGTCTAAACTAGATACTCTAAGTCAAATTTTGGGAACAATATTATGCTCTCCTAGTAGTTTGGCATTAACCTCTAAATCAATCAAGATTATTACTAACAGTTTATCACTGTTGATTATCTCAAAAAAAAATAAACTGATAAAGTTGGTACTGAAAAAAAAAGGGGAAAAGAAATACAATTCAAAGCCCTCCAAAAGATTCTTGTTCCATTTCACAGTTTTCTCTTGAAAGAAGTTTTCCTGATTAAAATATTCTCTAAGCTTCATGATATTGAGGAACTTAACCATTCCTAAAAGTAACTTCAAGAAGAACATTGGAGGAACTTATCCTTCTACCAATGTATAGATTCACTTAATACTATTGAAACCAGCACCATATTAAGGAAGAGTTTACCTAATCGGGATAAAGAAATCTTTTCAAAAACTTTGCCTAATTAGAATAGAAACTTGGAGACCTCAGCTTTTATCCAAGAAAACCTTTTCATCATCTGAGAAACTTAGTGAAATATGGAAATTAGATCTTCTTTTCTTATCCATCGCTCACTTTTTGGTATCATAATTGTTTCCTAGAGATTAAATATATATAATTGAAGGAGTCATTTTTTCTAGAACTTTCTTTTCTACATTACCAATGATATATTAAGGCACATGAATATGATCAATAGGAGCTTTATCAGGAAATTTTTTTGATAGAAAACTTTGGAGATCTCCACCTGTTAAAAATTTTCTAGAAATTTTTGAAAAATTCTCTGAAAAACTTTTAAAATTTTTGAAAATTTGTATTTTCATTAATTTTAATAATAAAAAACTTCGAATATTTTTTATTTCAAAAAATTTCAGAAATATTGAAAGTAATAACATATATATTAAAATAAATAATTATTTAATA